AGCAAGACACTGAGTTATGGAGTAACTAGATGTCAACAAAGTTCATAAGAAAGGAGGAGCTAGAGATGGAGCACTGGTCTCTATCCCATCTGCTGCAAAGGCCAAAGAGCAGGGAGAGAGGCTGCCACACAGAAGTGGGCTTTCCCCCACACTCGTTCAGCTTGAACCTCTGGCTAAGTCGGTGTGTGCTGATCGTCGGGGTGCTGGGAGGGCTCGCACACACACCTGCTTTGAATGAGAATGATTTGACTTTTGAGAGACTACCTATTCACTGTGAAGGGTGAGAAAAATAGCAAGTTTCTGCTCCTCAGAATCTGGTTTGGAGATGATCAGAGGAGGGGTGAACTCATTGTATAAAGATTCATCTTGGTGCTATTTCCAGTAATAAGGCAAGAGCGGTAACTGAAGCATTGCTAACTGAACTCACACTAGATTAAGTTTTAGCGTATAACAGAATTCCAAATGGTCACGGATAGAAGGGACATCTACATCCATATTCATGGGGAGAGTTTCATTGTATTTTTAAATGAGAAAGGTGGCACATTTGCCATCTCTTTATTGTGTGTGTATATGTATACATATATATTACAGATATATATATATTTTAACACTAATTTTTCTTCACATTGAAGCCATTAATGCACAGTGTGCATTATACTTTTTTATTAAAAATACTCAAAAGTTAAGCTTTTTGCAATCTTCCAAATTAGGAAGAACTGTTATCTGTGATCAACCATGCTGGAAATTACAGGACATTACCTTTTCTCCCTTTGAAGATGTTTCCTGTAGTCTTTGGAGACAGAAGAGGTACTTGCTCTGTTATGCCTTGAGTCATCCAGTGGTCAGAAGTAGAGGCTCACAGGACATGGCTTTAGTTACGCGGAAATACGTTTTCTGATTTTTGTCTTTCCAGAGGTGTAGCCTTCTGCATTGACATCATGGCTCATTGCATTTACACGCTTTGGAAACTCAGGGAGATAAGTTTTGATGATGTCGCTGACCTAGGCCATTCTAAACTTCGTTCTCATCTCTGTCTTTAGTCAGCGCAGAAAGCTTCCCTTCAGTTCCCACCCTCGGACGATGCTTCCCTCTGTGCCTTTCTTCTTGTCAGCCCCAGAGGAGGAAGTGTCTGTGAAGAATCTGGAAGAAACCAGAGTTGTTTACATGAGCCGTGACTAAGAAAATACTTAATAGAACCCACTGAGGAATGCATGAATTTGGAAAGATTTTCCCTACTGTTCCTCTGCTTCCAGCTTCTTTCTTAACATCCTGTTCTATGTGAACTCAGCCAGTTTCACTGACCTGTTTCCGCTGATATTCTTCAAACCTGAGGTGCTCAGAAAAATATCAGAGAAGGCCTTCAAATATGCACTCTAGGAAGCTACACCTTCTAAAGAAATGGCTCTTCTCCACTCATTTCCTAATAGTTACTGACAACACACTCCACATCAGGAAAATATTTAGTGCTTGGCATGCATCACTGTGCAAAATGAAGGTCCGCTTTTCACTTACATGATGAGTAGACTAAAAAATAAAATCAGCTTTAAAATGAACAAACAACAATGACAAAGCAGTAGAGAATAATCAGAGTGGATGCTGTCAGCATCTGTTTGGCACCTTGATGGTCTTGGCGAGCTCCTCAAATAGCTGGTCAGCACTGCACCCACCAGTGCCCCTTGAATCTCTGTCCTTTTGAGTGAGGCACACAACGGGGTGTTTGAAAATGACCATGGTGGTTACTTGGATTTAAGAAGCTCTACCTCAACACAAGCTCAAATGAAAGCAGTAAAAATGCATCTTGTTTAGCTTAATATTTGTGTACCCATCAGCCCTTAATTTTAGGTAACAACCCAACGCTTTGAAATTACCTACTGTTCTAATTATGCTGACCCCTGTATTTGGCATCTTTGCAGAGTCAGGATCTAGTATTTCAGGCAGCTTGTGTTCACAGCCTCTCAGCAGGACTTCAGGGTTACTCTCCACTTGGTGGGCAGCACAGGTCTGCAGTGTCTTCTCCATGCTAAACCATTGTCTAAGCATTTTCAGCTGAAATCTTCCCCGGTGTTAAGTAAGTATTCAGTAGGGAGACTTTCTGTTTTTCACTGTTAGACTTTGACACTACAGATCCATAAGCATCTCCTTCAATGAGTAGAAGGGAAGTGTCGGGAAATTTCATATCCGGTTCCCTTACCCGTGGGCAGAGTGCAGGGGGTCTCGTGACCCTTCAGGATGAGTCACCAGGTCCTTGTAAGTCCAGCTCAGCTGGCACTCAACAGAGAATAAACATGGATTTTATCTGTGTGTTGCTCCCAGAGGGGCCTCTGTCCCCAGGTCATGATTAGGCGCATCTCCAACTAGAAGCTGCATTGGGAGACACTTTCTCTCCTTTGGAAATTGCCTACTGAGTGACACCAAGGTTTGGAAGCAAAATACCAGGACACAGGGTGGGGATCCAGGCTGCATCAACTTGAGTGATGCAATCACTTACTCTGAACATGGCTTCTCCATCTCCCATGGGGCTAAAACCTTCATCTAAACACTTCAGAGAAGTTTGTGAGGATCAGGATCAAAACCCAATACTGTACTGATAATTTTTTTAAAAAGACACTTTTATCTTTTACTCTTCATCATCTGGAACATCATGGCTCATGATGCGGTTACGCCCTTTGGAAACTCAGGGAGAGAACACTTTTGATGATGTCACTGACAGGCCATTCTAAACTTTGTTCTCCTCTCTGTCTTTAGTGAAAGTATGGAACTGACACCATTAAATTTTAAGGTTCTATAATTCATAATTTTATTTTCACATTAATATATTGCTTGTAACAAAGAGGAAGGTCTGGTGACTGCAAATTACCTTGTATATAAATTTCATGAAATGACTGAGGAAAAGCCCTGGTCACTCCCTTTAAGAGAGAAGTAATCTATGAGAGGGATGTGGGCAGCCACAATGTATAGGGTGAGATTTTAAATTTAAAAAAAGACTGCATTAGAATGTAGAAGCTGTTCAAGATGAAACTCTCATGTAGTCTGAGCTACTCATCTGGTTGAGGCAGGATGATTGCTTAGCTCAGGAGTTCAAGGCCAGCCTGGGAAACAGCAACTGTCTCAATCAATCAATCAATCAACCATAGAGCGTTCAGTAGAACATCTCACACATCAGAAATGTGAAGATCGGCAAGTCAGTATAAAATGAGCACATCCTGGTAGCCACCACTGTTTCTTGAAAAGACATTAATGCATTGTAGAAGACCCCTTCTGCCACACCTAGCCCATAATGCCGGCAATATCTAGGGATCTGCCTGAACGCACTTCTCCAACTTGCTGTTTTTCCAAGTACTTTTGATGTATTTATCAACCCAAGATTGACATGCTCTTGTTAAATGTGCGAAGAGTTAATCTTGGGAATATGAGAACAAAAGCCCTCCTAGATATTGATATACAACAACCCAGCTCCAAGCAAGACACTATTGAAAAGGGGAAGAAGATGCAAGTGCCCCAGGTGGGGAGATGTGTGCAGTGTGAGATGCAGTGATCTTGTAGAGGGAACAATTCAGAAAGGGTCGCTGGTGAAGGCGGGAGGAGGGGAAGGGAGAAAGCATTAGTGCAGAGTCACGGAGAACTCAAAGGGAATGGAACCGCTGAAACAACGCTGAAGGTATTTCATGAATGAACCAGGTCTGCTTCTGCACGTGAGGACAGTCATCCCTCCAGGTCGTTCTGTTTGTCTCCTTGTTTTATTTCAAGGCAAGGATAAAACATTATTAGAAACCTTCTGAGGCAAAACCAGGTGATATTCTTTACCTGCATTTGCACTGGTGGAGGAAAAACATTTTCCCTCTATCTCTACATCAACACCTAAGTAACATAAGATTGAGTGACATTTGCTTGGTGTTGGCCTCTTATGTGACTTCTGAAAAGCTTGTCCAACCTTCTCCAAGCCTTCCACTCACAGACAAAACAGACACCAGGTGAATCAATGCAGGTTTTGCTAACTCTTTTTCTTTTAGGACCTTACATATATGAGGAAGTAAAGGTAATAAGTAGATGATAGAAGGTTTACTGTAGTCTTTGTTTAGTTAAAATTCTGTCCAGTTTGTCCACTTACCAAGACACCACCTCTTACTGAAAGTCCTTTAAAAAAGAGAAATATTTGTCTCCCAATATACCAGTAGAGAGGCTGAGAATTATACTGAGCAACTTAACCCAAGAGAGCTAAATTAGCTAATAAAATGTCTTGACTTTTTCATTCTGTATTTATCTATTATCACTTCATTAAAGCATGAATAGAAGTTTTGCAGGTTGGTAGCAATGTTATAATCTTAATGGTGGAATAAAATTCAAACCAATCAGTAGACCAATAAATATTTATTAATTTCCAGGCTTATATTAGACTCTGATGAATAAAAGAATGGTAATAATCCACAATGTAATTTCACAGGTAAAAAATAAAGACATTTATACAATGTGACTCAGAATGTAGAACCCAAAATACAATCCTATCATCTTCACAAAAGCTTCCTAAATCAAACTACACTATGAGCATTACAGAATGTTATTCAGTGAACATTTGACATTAAGTCATCAAGAGCATGGATTTGCAATGGATTGCAGTTTTCCTTTGAAAGGACAGTCAGGAGAAGTTGAGGGTGTAACTCAGTGGTAGCATGGGCTAGGCATGCCCAAGGTAGGTCGTGGATTCAGCTCCAAGCCCGACTCCAAAGTTAGCCAGCAATTCAGACAAGGGACACATAACCACGTCTCACATAACATACTCCTGCAGGGCCTGCCCGGCTGCCGGTGCGACTTAGCTGACAGCACTACGTGGAAAGCTCAGAAAATTCAGATAAGCAAGTTGGGCGAGGCTGCGCCCTGGCTCCCTTGAGCGACAGCCCTTAACAATGCTTTAGGCAGGAGATGTGCCGGCCGAGAACGCTCACTGTCAGTGTGACACCAGGCACCTTCATCTCCAAGAAGCAGATTCTGTGTCGCCGGCCGTGTCACCGGGCTGCTGTGCCCCGCCTGGCCTCTCCTGGGTGCGGCCGGGCCCTGACTCTCTGCGGGGAGGCGCATCTCCCCAGCGCCCGCCTCAGCGCGGCGGCCACGTCCCTGTTCCTCAGGCTGTAGATGAGCGGGTTGAGCATGGGCGTGAGGATGGTGTAGAAGGCGGACACCAGCTTGTCCCGCTCGGGCGTGTGGTAGGACTGGGGCAGCACGTTGGTGTAGAAGGCCGCTCCGTAGAAGATGCTGACCACCAGGACGTGCGAGGAGCAGGTGGCCCAGGCTCTGCGCCGGCCTTCGGCCGAGGTCATGCGGTGCACGGTGAGCAGGATGCGCGCATAGGATGTGGCGATGATGGAGACGGGCGCCAGCAGCATGAGGATGCAGCACGCGTACATCAGGGCCTCGTACAGCGACGTGTCAGTGCAGGACAGCCGCAGCACGGCCGGGATCTCACAGAAGAAGTGGTTGATCTCCCGGGATGCGCAGTAGGGGAAACTCATGGTGACCGGGGTCAGCATGAAGCCATCCAGGGAGCCGCCCAGCCAGGAACCCAGCACCATGCACAGGCAGACCCTGCGGTTCATGAGCGCCGGGTAGCGCAGCGGGCTGCACACGGCCACGTAGCGGTCGTAGGCCATGAGGCCCAGCAGGAAGAACTCGGCCCCCATCAGGGTCAGGTAGAGGAAGATCTGGAGCGCACAGCCCAGGAAGGAGATGGTCCTTTGCTCGGACAGCAGGTCCTGGAGCAGCTTGGGGACTGTGACGCATATGTAGACGGTGTCCAGGATGGAGAGCTGGCTGAGCAGGAAGTACATGGGCGTGTTCAGCCGGGGGTCCACACGGATGAGCAGCACCATGACCACGTTGGCGACGACGGCCACCACGAAGATGGAGAAAACCACCATGAAGATCAGCCCGGGCGGCATCGGTGGGGCGATGAGGCCTAGGAGGACGAAGTCAGTGGAGTTCGGCCGAGCGGCCTCCATCCCCGACTCACATGGTTGCCCTGGGCTGCAGACAGAGAGTTGGGGTTAGGGATGGTATTTCACAGCACCACCAGGAACCATGTCAGAAGCCAGTGGACAGAGGAGACCACCCCAGTCCTGCTGCATGTGACACAGCAGATGTTCTCTCTACATGAGGCCATCACAGCCTGTACTTTACAGGGAGGCTGCGGATGTGAATGTAAGGATCCCCCAGTACTTTCAGAGTCAGCACTGTCTTATTCAGAGCCACCTTCTGTGTTCATCCTATAACATTATTTTAGGCTGGCAGTTTCTTGAGGCTGGCCCTGTGCCTCATTCTCGGGTTATTGTCACAACCAACCTATGTAACTTCCTTGAACTTGAATTCCTCCTTGCCACGGGGATGATTACATTGAAAAGGTCACACGCAGACTTAGGAAACCGACATGAGATGAGCATGAGCCAAATTTTCTAGGTAAACTGTAGGGTTTCAGTGACACTATTACCAAGCGGGCCTCGAGAGTTTGGGGTGTCAAGGATACAGCAGGGCAGTGTTGCTAACCTACTGGAGGGTGGGTCCAAGCTGCCTGTGGGCAGGTGTGTTGAGAACCACTATGTTCTAGGATGGACTGTTTTAAATACTGGGGTCTGTCTGTTTTCCAAGGTCAATTTGGGGTCTCAAAGGAAGGGCCCCTGTGAATCTCAAAGGAGGACCCCTGTGAACTGTGCTTAGCTAGCAGGACTTGGGCTTCACCTGATGGCTGCGTTTTCTACTGACACCATGAAGTCTGCTGCAGTGGTGTGACTCAGTGCTGCGATCCAGTGTTCAACCTCGCCCTGAGCTTCTCTCAAAGCATTGTTCAGCAGGACACAGATGGACTCCCTGCTAGGGACTGTTCCAAAGCTCGCAGAATGTGATGCTATTTTAGGAATCCATTGTTAATGAGGGTTTCTTTTCTATGTTTATTATTTATTTTACTGTTATATTGTCGATCCCTCATGTTTATAAATAAAATGACAGGTAATAAATAAGTTTTTTAGCCTCACAGGAGTTCAATCTCCAGTACCAGAAAAGTCTTTTTTTTCTTTAAATTAGAGAGAATAAGGTGGAATAATGTTAAAATTTCCTTGAATTAAATAGAAATAATTCCTATGCTTTTTTCCTGGAGTAAAGCTAATGCATACCTCTTTGATATATTCAGGGGAACTGAGACATGAACTGTCAGTTTCATGATTAGATCATGGTGCACTTTGCTGCATTTCAGTAACAGAATCCTAGAACAGAATGCTTTTGGAAAATAGACTGTCACCAATATTGTAAGTACACTTACTGGTTCCACAGTAGTCAAACACAGTCTCTGAAGCATCAGGGAGAGCAAAATGTCCCAGAGGTTGAAAAAAAATAGGAGCAATAAAGAACACTTTTTCTTCTTAGTGTTCATCTAAGATGGGAGACTTATTGTGAGTAATAGTCCAGATAAAGCAGTAATATTACAAAGGGAGAAAATAAAAAAGTTTCTGTGCTGAAACTTAATACTATTATAGGTTTTTGGTGAAAGAGGAGAAATCAAATATTAATTCTAAACTAGGTCAATAAATGTCAGTTTTTGCTTCCTTAATAAGCAAAACAGCTTCCTGATAACCACAGCTCTGGCCCATAGGCAGAGACTTCTTTAAAGTCATTATGACTAAGCGTCCATTAGAGCTCTTCTGGGAAAACTGGTTGGAAATTAAAATATTCATGCCAGCAGACAGCTCATCTTGGCCAAAAATCTTTGTTTTCTTTCTCTGGATTTCATTTTTTTTCTTCATTAGAAGCGTGGAATTGTACTAGTAACTGAAAGTACAGCATAGCTCCAAAAGTGGAACATTAGTTTTTTGTAAATGAGGAAACATCTGCCAAAGACAGCATATTGAGATATATGTCACATATATATGTATACAAATATGAATATGAACATATTTGTAAGTACAACTAAAATGTGAAAGATGCAAGAGGAGAAAGAGCAAGCTATGTTGCTCCTGAACCAGAAAGAGCAAACACAGCTGGCTGTGTGTCAGTCAGTTTAGAAGGTTTGCTTTCACTGTAAGACATAGCAAACCAGATGCTGTGTGTCAGCTCTAGCAATGTCTTCCAAAATGCTCCACCCGACGAACGCCTGGAAATCACGGAATGCGAGTGTGTGATGACCGCTTAGAGGAAGTATCATACCTTATGAGCCAAGAGAGGCTGTGGCTCACTCATGGCAAACAGTGATACTAGACATGGAAATTCATTTGCATGAGAAATTTGAGACTTAATAAAGGAGAGACTCACTGGAGTGCTAAAAAATAAGGACACCTGGGAGGCAGATGGTGCGGTTCATGTCAGAAAGGCTTGCAAGTGTGCACTGGCACATACCTGGGGGGCAGCCCAACCCCAGCTAAGACCACCTTGGAGAGCCCAGGGGAGTGGAGCACAAGGGGCTGGAAAATGAGGGCTTTGAGTGTATGGCTCAAACTATCTAGTGATAGGATGTTAAGTGTGAGTTACTCTGGTAGGAAGTCACACAATAAAAATGTCCTTTCAGAAAGATACATCTAGCAGTTTTGTAGTATTGAAATCGACATCATGCTATTACTTGCTGCTATTAAGTTTCTGTAGCCACAACAGACGGTGACCACTGAACTCATCTTTTATTCGCGCTCGCTCTCCCTGTGATCTTCGTCTGTGTTATAAATTCAGAACCATTGCTTCAGTTACTGAATAACCAGACATCGCTGCCCGCTTTCTATGCCAGCTTAGGCTCCAGTGATGTGAATTCCTCTGCTCCTTTACCTTCTCTGCAGTGCTCAGGATCGTGAATTTCCAGAGATGTCCTCCCAAATGCTCCACTCATTAAATCCTGATTCCATATCAGTTACAGGGGTATAATAGGGAGTCCCTGTTAGAGGGAATCAGCCCCTACTTTCCCTCACCACACTCTCAGTCAGTTTAGAAATTTCCACAGTAGAAAATAAAGAAGATAGGAGAGCCTCTTCTTATTTCAAAAAGTTAGTGCTGCATTGACATGCGGGTGACAATTATTCAATGCCCACTAAGCCAGGAATTAGCTCTGCAGGAAGATTGTGCTTCAAGGTAGGATGCCAACATATCTAAAACAAATACTGTCAGTGATACCAACAGTGAACAAGGAAAAAGAAGCGCAGCACGAGGTGAAGCTGCCAGCTGCCCCCGCTCCACTCTCCTGGGAGACGCGCTCCCATCAGCCGCGTGGGCGTGGGTGGCAGCAAGGGAAGGCAAAGCATCCGCCACACACGTGGCCCATTTATTCCACCCCACTGATGGCACAGAGGCGGAAACAGGGGTCAAAGACGCAGAAAGTTTATTCAGGACCAGCAGTGATGGGCAACGTGAGGAGCAGAAACCAAGAGCCCCAACATAATGCCTTCCACGTTACACCCTAGATGCCACGTCTCCAACAGGAGACAGCACCACGTCCTGCTTAGTTGCCCAGCCTTAAAGCCTTTCATGCCACATGCTAGGCTGGCGTCAAATGGCTTTATTTGTGGGACATTTGCTGGTTATGAAAAAACCATCACAAGCGCATGTGTGCATCTTATGAAGAAAGGAAAAGAGACTCGTGGTTGGAAAATAATAGAAACAGAAAAGACAACACTCAGCACTTTAATTTCTTCCCAACATGCAGGGAACCTTCACCCACACCTGACTACATAACACAGTGCATTCCTGCCTTGGCAATATCCAAAGGGCAGAAATCCACGCTGCTGCTTTAATATACTCTCTGCCACCGCCCATCAGCATCTGAGGAGTCCTTATGATGAATGCTAAGCACCCACTTCTACCCTTCGGTACCCACACACCCTTCCCCCTTCTGTAAGCTCACATGGCCTTGGAGAACATCGCCAGACTCCTCTCATCCCTGTGTTTCCAGCGAATGCATCCCCTTTTCAATGACTGGCTTGTAAAAGAGTGAACACATGTATTCGCCATTCTTAATCCAAAAGAGATCACCGACACATCAGGTAAAGTGACTCCAGGTGGCCTCCCCAAAGTTACAGAGTGACGGCCAAAGAAGATGCCCTGAATTTGAGTAGTCTTCCCTCTGATTCCATAAAAATCTAAGATCCTACCTCAGAGCAGCTGAGCACACGCCTTGGTAAGGTGGCAGTGTGGTAGATACCTGGGGCAGCAGGTGAGGCCACAGCCAAATAAAGCTGATTAATAATGGATTTCCATGAACCCTGGGAGCGCCCTCTGGGTATCAGTTAATCCACGTTCACTTGCTTCACCTTCTGCCGCAGTGGAGCCATTCCCACTGGCCAGACAGAGCTGTGCTCTTTTCCCAAGTGAAAGTCTGGAACTGTTTCTTAACATTTCATCACAGGCCAGGGATTTAGCCCAGTGGTACTGCCGCCTGCCTCACAAGTGCAAGGACCCGAGTTCGATCCCTGGTACAAAAAAAAAAAAAATTTAATCACAGAACTTCTTATCTAGCCTCAGCTTCCTCTGGAGTAGTAACAAACAGTGCTGTGATGGCTAGAGGCATTGTCTTCCAAGTAAGTGGCCTATTTTGGTGAGAGAAAATTGTACTTAAATATGTCCCTTAAAGCTTGCAAACATTCAGTGCTTTTCAGAGTTGTTCATCTATCAAATGCATTGGGAAAATAAGGAGACATGAGGAACACAAAGGAAAAAGGGGTTTTGTAAAGGGAGGGGGAGGAGGGGTGAAGGGAGAGCAGGGTCAAGGGGAAAAAATGAGAACCAAGACCTGTCATGTAAAGGTACAAGATCCTGATGATGAATGTGACTGTGCTGTATCCCTAAAATGTACCAATAAACTCAATGAGGAAAAGAAAAAGAAAAAAGGAAAGAGGAGTAAGAGAAGATGAAGGGAAGGACTCAGGGGAAAGGCAAAGGGAAGGGAGGAAGAAAGAAATAGCCACAGAGAAATACAAGCCACACATGCTCTGAAATTCTTACATGAGTGTATTAGGACATTTTACAAGGGAAACTGAAATTTCTCATACTTTATTTCTCCAGGAAGAAGAAAAAAATCATCTTGTTTGGGAAGCAGGACATCAGTGAAGACGACTATGATTGAAGACTTTTCATGCACTAAAACCACCCTGGGTGCATTATGTAAATGATTTTTACTCATTACAGATCCGTTAGACTCAGACTTGACAGCTTAGGATTTCCAACTACAGACGAGGCAAAATTTAA